GTAGGACCTTGGAATAATCATTCTGAAGATTACTCAGAATGATTCCCTCAGAATGATTACTCCAAGGTAGGACCAGTGTTGGATAAGTAAATAACTTTGCTGTCTGTCGTGACCAAGGATATTTGATGGGTTATAGTTTGCGATGATAGCCATGAAAGTAATGAAAATTGGGTTGCAATTGAAATGGAGTGCGCGCTGCAAGATCCGGCTGTACGTTTGACCTACATTTTTGATGGACAGTGTGCGTAGCAGTGAGCTCAGATTCTTTTCACAGATAAACTGGTTCAGTGTTTTGCTGATTATCATAGTAGCTCTAGTAACTATCTAGCCCGTGTGCAGTTGCCGCTGGCCAGCGGCAACTGTACGCGGGCTATAGTTACTAGAGCTATTGTCATAGCTGCTCCATGGTGGAAACGTATTCAGAATTCTGAGTCTGAAGACGTTGCTGTTCACACTTCTCTTCTCGTTACAGACAAAATGTCTGCATTCTAGATGATTCTAAATGAATTATATTATTTTACAACTTATTGATTGATGTGTAGTTATTGTTATGTAAGTTATTGTTTGTATTATCACATGGTTCCAGGAAACTGAGTGCTCCTGCTGCTACCTTCTTGACCGAATCAGTTGTAACCAACTTGTAATCAGCCAGAATTAATCATGAAGGTGTTCGTATTCCCCCTAGCAACAACGGCAGCAACTTTTCTCTGCCGGTTGGTTGAACCAAGAGTAGATAATAACACATAGATATTATCTACTCTTGGTTGAACTCATGTGTAACATGATGGCACCCCTGTAGCATTGAGTCAGCTGCCACCTGTGTGTGACTCACTGTCACATGCTTTTTCTCCCCCAGCACGAGCCTAGCCTACTACTACCCACGTGTCTAGCTAGCTCCTACTCCTGACAGCTTTTGTTACATAGCCCGGGTCGTGCTAAGAGCATTCCTGCCAGTAACACACGCCCGCCTATGCAGTCTTCAACCTTAATTACACAGGATTTCGTGGAAAAGCAAACTGCACGCATCATTGTGTGTGCGTTTTTACTGGCTGCTAAATTGTGTGTACCATGCAGAGACCTTGTGACCAGCAGTTCTGCCCTTCCAACTTGAAAGCCTCGTGAAAAAACCGCTTTCAGCTATATGCGTGTTTGTTTATACTCTGTGTACATGTTTACATTTCACGTAACTTGCAATTTTGTGTTTTTTTGTATGATATTTCACACTGGCTCTCTCCCTCTCCCCCTCGCCCCCTCTCTACCTCTCTCTCTTCATCTCATTGCATACCGTTATTGTATCTCCCGAACGAAGTTCGTGGGGATACTATGGGTTTGGCATCTTCCCGCCGCCGCCGCCGCCGCAGAGATTTCCTTGTGAACGCTCTACCGGCTGAAGTTCTTCTCGGATCATCTTTAAATTTCGCATAAAGGTGCCTAGCAAGAAAGGTAAGCCGCAACTGACGCCTGAGCCACGAGTCCCTTCCAGTTCTAACAAAGAAAGTGTAGCATTGCCCCTAACACCTACGTCACTGCCTCCACCTACTGACTGTCCCCTAAATAACCTCAACACACCCAGTTCTAACAAGCAAGGTACGCGCCCCTACACCTACGTCACTGCTACACCTACTGACCGGTCCCCTAAATAACCTCAACACACCCAGTTCTACAAGCAAGGTACGCACCCTACACCTACGTCACCGCTACACCTACTGACTGATCCCCTAAATAACCCCCACACCCAGTTCTACAAGCAAGGTACACGCCCCTACACCTACGTCACCGCTACACCTACTGACTGATCCCCCTAAATAACCCCCACACACCCAGTTCTACAAGCAAGGTACACGCCCCTACACCTACGTCACCACTACACCTACTGACTGTCCCCCTAAATAACCTCAACACACCCAGTTCTACAAGCAAGGTACGCGCCCCTACACCTACGTCACTGCTACACCTACTGACGTCCCCTAAATAACTCAACACACCCAGTTCTACAAGCAAGGTACGCGCCCCTACACCTACGTCACTGCTACACCTACTGACTGATCCCCTCTAAATAACCTCAACACACCCAGTTCTACAAGCAAGGTACGCGCACCCCTAACACCTACGTCACCGCTACACCTACTGAGCTGATCCCCCTAAATAACCCTCAACACCACCCAGTTCTACAAGCAAGGTACACGGCCGCTTAA